TACCTTCTCCTCTGTCTGTACTCGCTCGTACTTATTATAATCTTTTACCTTTATCTGCAAAAAAAGAGTTTAATAAGCAAGTACCATACCATCCCATATAATAAGTAGCATCTGTACTGTATGATATCCGCATCCACCCTCGAGCCACCCAACTCTTTTTAGTCCCACTTATATAGACTTAGATAATATCGCCCCACTTGATGAAGGGGATAGAAGATGAAGTACTGGTAGCAATACGACGTAGAGGTTTGCTGGTTTGTCTCTTCTGAGTCGAAGTAGAAGTATTATCACAGTACAGACTATCTTTATATAAATATCTATATCCCGTCTTCCGAAACCAATCAGCGAATGTGTATCTTCTGCAATAACCATCCCTTATTACGAGGGGGACCTGGTACACACATACATCTGCACATTGTCCCTAGTTCGCCTAGGTAGAAAGGTTAACATCTCAACCGGAGGACAACAGGGAACTTCTTTGAACGTTGAATACATCTTACTTTTTTCATCACAACACTCATTTTGTTGCTATGGTATTATTATTACCCTCGTCATCATTGGTATACGTATACTTTGGCCAAGCTATATCAAACCGTCGGATCCATGGATGTTTTCTAGAGTAACAATATGCCAAATTCTCTACTCGGTCGGCTTGCATGACTTCGCTAACTACACAGTGTGGAGTGTGCTATCAGTATGATATCAGTGTGATACCGATATCTATTTGCCTAGGTATCAACCTCCAATTTATTCTATACATGACATGGTACACATGATATATAATATGAGATCGATCGAGGCATCAACATGACGACTTATCGACGATGCGGCGCCCTATCTCGATTCTTGACTCTTGACTCTTGACTCTTGACTCTTGACTCTTGACTCTTGACTCTTGACTCTTGACTCCCCCAGAAATGGGCATTTATCTATTGCCTTTTAACCGCAAGGCAAAGGCAGTGATCAATCATTCCGAAAAGGGAATCGGCATTAGTTCTCTTATCCTACGATACCACAACATCTACCTGGTAATTCTAGAGCAGCCCAACCTTACCCCGCGAAGGATCTGGTTGGATTACTTCTTCCTTCTGACTTGGAACAAACGAACTTCACAGTTTCTCTCCTCTAAAGATCAAAGTATTAACTTCTATAATCGATTGATTGATCAATTGATTCCTTCACAAGCTTTACTCCGTACCTCGTACATACAGGATTCCCCTAGGACCGACCCATCTTCAGACCCTCATTGTTGTCAACGGTTCCTGACTACTCCGTGTAGCACCCCTTCATTCCTGCACCACTCTTCCATCTCCACACTTCCATCCACACCGCCATGACTCATCGGAACGGAATCCCCCAAAACGTCTGATAAAGAAACTTCTGGCCGACCTGAGCCGACCTATTAAGGAAGGTGCTGTCGGAAATAGTAGCCGCCTCTTTCACTTTGTACAGTGGACACGATGATCGTGTTCAGGAATGAATTTTGCTTTCATTAGATACTTGCACAACACAAACACCTATTGTACAAAGCCATTCATTTTCTGATTCGTCCAAAACCCCCATCCTTATCTGTGCATTACAGAAAACCATGTGCGATAACGGCTCCGGCTCAAATGTCAAAACGACCCGATGCCACGCTCTGTATACCTACCTAGGTAACAGAAAACGTCCATTTTGTGGCTTTGCATGGTGTCACCTGCTTTGGCTCGTGGAATTGATCCCTCCGAAGCCATGCATGATGGCACTTATAAGAAGTGATTGTTTATTAATCCTGCAGGCTCATTGGGCAATCGATAGATTTTAGATCCAATGTTTGACCTGTCATACAGATAGTCGTCTTGAAGAGGAAAATAAATCCTCATAACTTGGGTTCAATTCATCTTGAGAGTCGTTGAGAGATATCATCGACGATGGGAGCCTAGTAAGTTTACTAGATACTTCAAAAATTACTAGGTCTTAGTAGATTGTTAGTCTGAAATAGTCTCCCCGACTTACACAAGAATCTTTTCATGCCAGAGGATATCATATCACATCTTCTATCTACTCTTCATACTCCTATTCATCTCTCAGCTCAATTCAATGCAGAACTTACCATGTTATAAATCAGTTGAGATAAGTTGAGTCCGTTCCGAGAGTGGGAAGTAGACACCCGAGCCGGCAAGTTGAAAAGTTGACAATATTCTCCCGGCTTCCGAACCGTGTACTATTCAGAGATACACTCCATACCATCTCCTTGATTGCTATACTTTTGCACTCTTGTCTTACATCCGACCTCACCTTTTGTTACCTTCCGTTGGCCCATTCCTGTTCGAAACAGCAAACAAGTTTCAACGTTCCATACCTTCTTAAAGAATCCTCCTTTGCCGTCTAAATTTTTCGAATGGCAGGATGCATAGCAAAACAGCGCATTGTATCCTCCGAGATGACCTGCCAAGCAAGCTTCTGCGGCTGATACTTACGATATGTCTTCTTACAGTCTATGACTCTAGCTTTTTGAGGCGTCATCATACACTTCAATGACTGCATACGCAACCTGGAATTCGTTCTTAGGATCTTACCGCACATATAATCAATCAAAGCTACTTACGTAACATCCGCAATTCTATCAATAATTGCCAATATATCACATCCAGTGTTCACCAGATGACCCTTTTGTTTCCCAAAGGCGCATCGGCCGTAGATTCCACGGAGAAAATCGCACCTGGAAAGAACATTATTGTATAGACGAGTTCACCTCGCAGGGCCTGGAAACCACTCGTATCATGCTTCGCTTGGGCTGTAGAAATGTTTCAAGAAAGAAACGAAGCTTCTTTGCACAAACGCTAGTAATCTTGGTCACCCAAGTCCTCTATGGTATGAGTTTTAGAGAGGCAGGAATACGATGTCAACTTCAATCTCGATTTTTGCAACAACCATATCATGCGAACATGCGAAAATCCATATCCCATATTCCTATCCATGCAAGAAACTGACGCCGTGCTAGGGATTTACATACGGCGTACTCCTACAGACTGACCTAGCATGAACCTTTACCATTGCCGCCCATTTCACTGCTACCCAGCGCTAACTTCAACAATAAGATGACCACAATTCTATTTCATTCTACCACACGAATCCCAAACAACGTAAACGATCATCTCAAAACAAGTCACTAATGGAACGCTTCGATATCCAATAAAGCACATCATGATAGTATGCTTACCAGCCCAGCCCGGCGCAACCTATCCCATGGTACTCACCTCTTCATGCCCCGCTTCAATCCCACGTCCACTGGTGGCCTACAGATCCTATTCCCTTACTAATCTCCTCTCTCTTCACCTACAGAATGAGAACCGCCCTCAATTTTCTACCAATACTTTAATCACAACCCCTCAGCCCTCTAAATAGAAACTGTACTGTAATCTAGCCAACATACTCTCCTCGGGCCCCTGGTGAATAACACAGCACAGTCATGATTTCATACCTCATAGAAGTGTACCATATACCATCCACAATACAAATTCAACAAAACCACACTAGCACCAAACCCTATCAAATTAAGCTTATTTCTTATTTCCAACTCTCATTCCTCATTCTTTATCTCACTATCCCAGTCCGTCTCAAAATAAAACTCAAAACTCAATCCATTAATGAACCCCAATTTTCATCAATTTTCCATCTCATCACTTCACCATTCAACCCAAACTTCTTATATATATATAGAGCTAATTATTCACCTATTACTCTACCTACTATCCTGCCTGTCTACCTGTCTACACCCACTAACCCTACGGCAAAAAAAAACAATGAAAGGGGAAGATGAAAGGGGAAGAAGAAAGAAAAAAAGAGTTCCCTCCAAATGATGTTTCAGATCTTTAAAAAACTTTATATACATACAACCATCCGCCAACACACCCTACCATAGCATTCCGCACCACGTGCGCACAAGTCCACAACTTCACAACTTCACAACTTCATACCGTCAAGATATACCTACCTGCCTAGCTACACACAGGCCTTCCTTCCTCTTTCCTCTTTCCTCTTTCCTCTTTCCTCTTTCCTCTTTCCTCTTTCCTCTTTCCTCTTTCCTCTTTCCTCTTTCCTCTTTCCTCTTTCCTCTTTCCTCTTTCCTCTTTCCTCTTTCCTCTTTCCTCTTCCCCCTCTCCTCTTTCCCCAAAACTTCTTCTACGTTTCATTCCATCCATCCCACATCTCCTCGAAGACCTACGAGGTATTCATCAATATATGCATGTATGCATGCTCACTCACTACCTACTAGCTAGCTATCGGTATCTATGTCCCTGCATATCCATATATCTGAGACTCTCTCAAGACTCTCTATTCGCAGAGCCTAGAAGTATAGAAGCACAAACAGAAGCATAAATAGAAAAAGCAAAGAAATCAACTAATCATAGCAGTCATATCATGTAGATTTTTCAACTCGGAATCATTTTTGACATTTTATATTTATCATTTAATCTTTATAATCTTCATATAAAGTATTATATACCCAATCTAACAACTCACCTTCCCCAAGAGATCTATCTAACAAACCAACTGTCTAGATATCTGTCTCTCCGCAGGAGAAAAAACAGACCGGAATTAACTGCTAGTAAAGCTGTTCAATAATCGGATTGTTCCATTCCAATTTAGAGAATTAAATATTCAAATACTTTTATCATTCAAGATTATTCAAGAATTTATACACAGCGGTCAAGTTCTACACTTCTTTTATGAATTGGTTTATTATAGAATTTATTACAGGTAACAATATTGGCCTCTTTTGCTTCTTCTTCTTCTAATAAGTTATCTTAGAGCCTACCTAATCACTCACAGACTAGTGTAAGTAATATAAGAAACAGACGAATACTTAACTAACCAATCAACTAATTCATTCACCATTTTCTATAAACGTTGATAGGGTGATTATTGATGTACACCTAGGTATGGAAAGATGGAGGTGAGCGAGTAGATGAATGAAGGAAACAACTAATAAATCACTATATGGGGACCCAAAGATTCGCAGGTCATTCATTCCCTTATATGCACCCGACAGCGAGATGTATTCAAATGCTTCGATGCGTGAGGGATTAGTAAAAATCCTATTCTGCCCCTCCCCGATGAATGTATCAATCTATCTATCATTCCCTCTTCTGAATCCTGATACCTGCTTTCCTGATACCTACTTTCCCAGTTACACTTCACGGAATCATGGACCACAATGCGTCGCACCGGCTGTTGCTTGCGTGATCATTAGGAGGGCGACGATTAATCCGTAGAGGCCTGATTTCGGGGGTATTTGTGTTAGTTTTCTCTCCTTTTTAACCTTTTTTTTTGGCATTATTCGCTTCCATTCCATTCATCTCCCTCCTACTCTTTCAGTCTCTCAAAAATTCCGACGCGAAAACGTGGAGGGGGGAAAAGGGTAAGACTCACCCAACACCTCCGCAAAAATTAACACCAACGCCATCCCCACAAACATCTTCGGCTGCATTGCCGCGCCCCTCACACCCACATCGCCAATGACCCCAATACTAAAGCCAGACGCGAGACAGCTGAGTCCGACGGAGAGGCCCGCGGCGAGATGCAGGAAATTTGTGTGTAGAGCGGAGGGGGCGACGAGCGCGGAGGCGATGAGGATGCTGGTTATCAGGCCGAAGATGGAGAGAACGGAGAGGATTATGGGGAGGAGGTCTATGGTGGGGTTAGAGTGGTGAGGGTGAGGGTGAGGTTGAGGTAGGAGGTAACAGGGATGGAGGGGGTACTGCGAATCATGTTCTGTGGTTGCATGACACTGACTGCGGAGATTCCGATGCTACTTTTGGCCATGCCGTATGCGGCGCCGATGTTGGAGAGGACGATTGCACAGCAGCAGCCCATTGCCCCGAAGAAGGACTGGACGGTTCATGAGTTGGCTGTTAGAACACGGGTGGTGGTATGAGGGGAGGAAAAGAAGGTGGTAACTAACGGCATAGACGGGACTTTAGGGCAGAGTGAGATGTTCGCATAGTATTTTGATGAAGTTTTGATGAAGTTGTAAGTGAAATTCTCACCACCTATCATTGAGATATGGGTCCATTGTGATCGTCTGATTATTACTTTAAAACGAGTGAGAGTAGTGTGGAATAGATCCTTGATCAATGTATCAGATCTTGTGCAACCTGCAGTGGGACTATTAAGAAGGCATAAATTTTTCGCAAAAGGAGAATTAAGTTGGCAAAATGTTGTCTTCAGAACTAAGGAACGAATTCAATTGAGAACTAGGTTTTCAAAATTGAAGAGGAATCATATCATATGGTGTAAAACTACACGCTCATCCGTCTTACATCGCTGGAGGGTAAGCCTACGAATACATGTAATTAGGCAGCCGTCGCACCAGATCGATATCAATTTTGATTCGATGATCATGCAGAGAATGATTAAATTCCAAGGTTTGGAATCTTACTGGCAACGCGCGTGCATTTGTACATCAACAAAATAAGTTCTTTCAGTGAGAGATATCTCGTAGGCTCGAGGGCTTTGATTGATTGGTTGCTACGCACTGGGTGCCTGCTTTCAAAAACTTCAACTTGGCAGGTGTTTCAAATGATCTGGTGAATTATTGCGATGCTTAGTATGATGAATTTAGACGTCAGCCAGATATTTATCACTATCTTGTAGATGACGGATGTTCCGAATATATAAGTACTGCTGCCTTCGGTCACCGAGTCAATGATTACGTAGTCTGCGCTACACAATCAATCAATGCAGATCATGATCAACCTTACTGCCGACGAAAATTGTGATCAATGGCCATGCTTATTACGACGCCAGAGAATCATCACAACTTTGCATACTTTTCAGCCCTGAAGAGTTTGACTGTCAGACAAATCGTGTGTAATGAAAGAGATGAGCATGATTGCTGAGAATTTTAGCAGTTAAGTAGTTTCTCAAATTGCTATAGCTGCCTTGGAAGGTGGTCAAAAATGGTACAACGTAGCTCATGGGCAACGGCAGTGACCAAGGCGAGTATAACTCTGCGTGCTTTCATCCTGATTGAGATGAAATACGTTGCAACCCGAACACGTAGTTTCCAAAATGGGGCAATGCTATCGTGGATACTTGCCGAGCCTCTTCCTGACTCTGCCATCTTTCAGAGCCTCGATTTGGTTTGCACGATACGCAGGAACTAAGGAGAGAGTGAACAATGTGTGCGAAGCAATGCTCCACTCCTACAATATTCAACACACCAAACACGAAAGCAAACGCGTACATGTCAACTTAAATCGAAAAGAAAAGGAAAGTTCTCACGCTTGTAAGAAGTTTGCTGTGCCGCAAACCAACATTGAGTTGGATATTTTGATATACGCAATCTCAAGTAACCATTGAACAACTTGGAGTTCCATACGAGGACTCTTTAGTGAACGTAAATCGAGTGATAGGACGAATCTGCTACAAAATCGCCGCGATAGATTGCAACATGTTAACACTACGCTGTTGAAGGTGTTGATGTAAAGAACTTAGGTAGGCGACTTCATATGTCAAGGGCCCCCCTACCTAGGTATACTTAGTCAATACCATAAAACCAAGCTTTTTAATCTCCATCTAATTGAAAACCCGTGCCTCGATTTCCGAGATCAGTCATACCAAGAATTCAAGACAAGATAAATTTTCCGCTGTTTGAGTAGGAAGTTTTGAAACGAATTGCAAGATTTGAAAAAGAAGAGGTCACAGCTGGAAGGCTGCCGCTTAGACTTGTGCGGCGGTCTCGTTCAAAACGTTCGAAGTATGGGGTAGCAATATGTGATGATTTGAGTTAGTCAATGCTCACGATATTTAAGTAATAGCTCAAATGAGTATGGTGTTGCAAATTCGCAATGAGCTTTTCTGAAGTTCAAATGTTTGCGAATCCTTTCCTTTGGTCAGTCCATCAGGTCATGGAAATTTGTCAAGCTTAGTAAGGATACTTGGCGAGACAAGAAGCACCTTCTAGCACGTGCCTAGTACTAAAGTGATTGTAGCAAAAGTCGTGATAGTCAGTCAGAGTCTGATATTCTATAGACCATTCCTACCTAGGCACCTAGATAATCATAGATATTTCTTATTTTGGAGTGTGGCTGTGAATGAGTTATACGTAGATACCTAGCCACATGCTAGCATGTTGAAAAAGTCTTAATAAAGTACATTTGGAGAGATGGGAGGAACATCCCTATGGTGGACGGATTGACCCTTTTAGAGTTTAGTACGAACACAGTCGATCCAATCCCACTACCATCAGGTCCGTAGCCAACGGAGGAGTACTCTTGTACGATGCAGGAAGTTCGGCAACTACCTAATCTCTTTAGTGCCTGCGTAAGTAACCCTATGGGATCCATCTTTATTGATACTGTCAGACTGTCTGGAGGTTCCATATAAAAGTTACAATGTCCGATATCACCGTCGCCACTGTTTGCTTACGAATATAGTGGTGATAATGACGAGTATCTAATTACTATGAATTACGCTGCTCATCACTTTATTCGGGTTTATTCCATTGGCATACTAGGTCATTGTAGGCAGAATGGTCACATTTATGCTTGATTAGCTTTCCCAGTTTTCCTTTTTGGAAGTTTGCGTGTTGGTCCATTCATTGGATTTATGGCACAGGCACTTTGCAAAGTACTACCTCCAATAAATGAAAGGTAGACTACGTACACATATATCGTACACATCATATCCCTCCCCCTTTTCAAATACTTTAGTTACTCTCTTGAGGCTTCATCCGATAAAACGGGTTTTTACTTTCCACTGGAGCGAGCTACCGAGGTAGATGCAAGATCACAAAATGGCTTTGGCGTAAGAGAAACTATTCGCGTCTCTTCTCGGTCAAGTTCAAACAACTTCAATTCATGCTTTGTATCATGGATTTGTGGTCCTCACTTTATTACTGGGAATTTGGAAAAGGACTGTGTGATGAACCCCGATGGTGTTTCAAGCAAATGCGCTTTTGTCTTTAGTCTGCAAAATATCCCATCCTCAATGCTTCATGCTATGTTTCTAGGTCTGAGGGTCGAAGACTCCGAGGAAAAGGAAGGCATGAGGAGCCATACAAATTCATTTATCGCAATAATCTGAAAATAGCATGTTTCCTCTTTCCCCCCTCCTCTCCTATGAGATCCCTGGAAAGTTATGTTGGAACTTGTGCAGGTAACGAATTATGGATTCGTGTGGTACCCTTCCGCGAGTCTAGTATGCACACCCAGATTCGTCAATATCAAAATGTCAAGCAGGTATGGAAGATCAGGATAGTGTGAATAAGAATCTCAATTCGTTGAAATATCAGAGTGTCTGTACCTCGCCTCTTCCTCTTGAAGGGACCTGAAAGCTATTTAGGAAGAAAGTCCTGGGGCGCAGGATTTCCAGCGAAGAGGATTTTGTTTGATATGATTGGTTATTGAATGATATCTCATGGATTCTAACCTCTTTTTTTATAGATCAGATGTTTCAATGTTCTAATGCTCAAAATACGTTCCCCTTTATATCATTATTATGTCCTTATTATCTAGTTAATATCGACTACAATGTCTAGTAACCCTTTTAATTTTGATTCTTCTTAATATTGTATTTCCCATCGAATGACTCTTGATTTTCAGATTTGTAGTATTCCATACAAAGTCTCCCTCCGTACCCGCCTGAGCTTCGTAGTTATACATGGTAGGCCGCGTCATATTGCGGATCCTTGACCTTGAATCATCCCAGACAACAACCCTAGCATTTATACTAGCATTTATACACTCTGTACTTCGTACTGTATGTCAACCAACAAACTTGCCAAGATATAGAAAAGAGGATCGAACCTTGGGATTGGAATCACTCTTTGCATTGGATTTGGTCTTTTTGTATGAGAAATATTATTCCACAGGTTCAAAGCTCTTTGGACCGTCTTCTTGCATTTTCGTATACAGTACCTTTAGAGAATTCCACTTGTACATTTCTACTCGATCGTTTCAATCCTCGTCCTTGATAGTAACACAATTTGACTACTACTACTACTACTGTACCTACCTAGTAAAGGCTCTTGTCATCTTATATTGTATTACTTTCTATCCTTCCTTCCATCCATCTCCATATTTATATCTTTCCCTCTTACTTTAGAATCTCTCAGCCTTTCTCGGCATTCTAAATTCCAACCGCTGCGCTTCCTGAAAAGTCCACCACGCCACCATTTGATACAAGACAAGAACGGATTTCACGGCGTGCCAGCCTTACAGTAGAAAACCGCTTGAAGATCTTAGAAATACTAAGAAAGATACTCCACAAATTTGTATAAAATACGATTCTCTTGTCTGCACCTCGTACTCTCAGCCACAATTAAGAGTTTCGTCATCTGTCGCAGGCTCTCTTTGCTGTACAAAAGCTTTACTTTTACTAGTACTACTCAGTCCGAGATTTGAGAACTTATACAAAACATCGCATCACATCACACTCGTTCCGAATTTTGGTTTCTAAAAGTACAACTTTTCATATCAACCTCACTACCAACAAACCTTTTTTTTTTTCAAATAGTTTGAGCATATTGGTTATTACTTTTTTCATTGGATTTTCTTGGCTCTATTTTCCAATTTTTTTAAAAAACAAATTTTTTGGGTCTTCGGGGTCGTCGAAGCTAAATTAATTAGCGCCTACTGTCCGCGTCATTTGGACCAACCCGAACAATATATACCAATTTCATATCCCATATAGGATTTCATAGAAGGGTATTTCTTTTTCATCAATATATTTTATCTCCAATCATGAGGACGACAAGATTTATTACCGCTGCCGTGGGAATATTATCAACATGTACAGATGCAATACAATTACAGAAGCGAACCGATGGACCAGCACGAGTAGTTGGACTAGATGTGGTACGAAAACAAGTGGAAAATCCCTTAGCAAGAGATAAATTAAGGAAATTAAGAAGGAGGTCGAAGACTGTTACTGCTACTTTAGATAATGAGGTTCGTCAATTTCATTTGGACTTTAAGTGAAGCTATATACTAACGTCGTTCAGGAAACTTTATATTTCGCCAATGGAACATTAGGTACACCAGCACAGAGTTTACGATTACATATCGACAC